CCACCCTCGACGGTGGTGCAGCTAGGGGGTATACAAGGGTGCCCCCGGTGGAGCGGTCGGTTACGATGCAATTGTGTCCTAATACCGCCTCCACCTGGCAGGGCGAACCGTGCCTCCCCTCCCGGGTCTGTAGGTACTCGTCTGGCCTGTCCAGCGATGCTTATACGGCCTGTGGAGAAGCTGCCTCCGCCTTACACGCTACGGCGTTACTGCAGGTTCATCAGGCCAAGGCACTGAGGAACCTGCACGAGGGCGGTCATGATCCGGAAGTTCTGAAAGAGTTCCGAACGACGAAGGTCACCGCGAGTTCTCTGGGTCGCGCGATGTCCACACTTGTGGTCCAGGAGTCTGGTTGATATGAGGGACGCCGACAAAGTTCGGTTCCTTAATGCCAGACGCTGTGCAAGGTCAGGGAGGACGAGGAGCAGGTCCTGCTTGTGGCACCGTATTGGCCCACTTAGACCTGGTTCCCTGAACTAATGCTCCTCGCGACAGTCCCTCCCTGGCAGATTCCTCTGAGGAAGGATCTACTGACTCAGAGACGGGGCACCCTGTGGCACCTCTGTCCAGACCTCTGGAAACTTCATGTCTGGTCCCTGGACGGGACGCAGAGGTTCTTGATGTCCTACCCCAAGAGGCAGTTGACACCACTTCGGCGAGAGCACCGTCTACGAGACACGCTTACGCCTTGAAGTGGAACCTGTTCATCAAGTGGTGTTCTTCTCGTCAGGAAGACCCCTGGAGATGCCTGATCGGGGTCGTACTTTCCTTTTTGCAGCAAGGGTTGGAGCGAAGGCTGTCTCCCTCCACCCTTAAAGTATATGTCGCTGCGATTGCTGCGAACCATGACCCCGTGGAAGGGAAGTCAGTAGGGAAGCATGACCCTTAAAGTCTATGTCGCTGCGATTGCTGCTAACCATGACCCCGTGGAAGGGAAGTCAGTAGGGAAGCATGATCTGGTCATAGGGTTCCTTAGGGAGGCGAGAAGGTTAAATCCTCCTCGGCCCTCCTCTATACCCTCTTGTGACCTGTCTCTAGTGCTCAAAGCACTACAGCAGGGCCCATTTGAGCCTTTGCAGTCAGTAAGTGCTTCCGAAACCTCCTTCGGGAAGGATGGGGCTTCCGCAACGTTCCTGTTCCAAGTGGAACGGGTACGTTTTCCCAGTGTTATTCAATCTCACTGAGTGGGTAGTGCTATGACAACAGTGACTGGTCTTCTTGTTGCGAGCCCCGGCCTACACCACAAAGGGGCGCAGGCGGCTCGCACAGGACACTGGAAGGGGCAGAATCCATGGCGCTTTGGTAGGGATCCCAATTGGTCGGTCACCAACATGACTCGGAATGACCAACTGAAAGGGAACGTCTCGGTTACGTATGTAACCCTTGTTCCCTGAAGGAGGGAACAGAGACGTCACGTCCCGTCGCCACGGCTGCTGTACCACCGCTGAGCGGCCGGGTCACCGGCTCGGCTCCTCAGCAAAAACCTGGTATGTGTTGCACCGGCTGCCTTTTTATTCTCACGCTGTGATCAGCGGCAGCTGGATGCAATCATTGCATGCCAATGTGCATTGGCTTGTTTAGTTTACACTCTAAGTGGATTGGTCTCTCAAAGCGAGATCCCAATTCGTCGGTCACCGACATGACGTCTCCGTTCCCTCCTTCAGGGAACGAGGGTTACATACGTAACCGAGAAGTTTTGTATCCTGTTGCATTTTCTCCACTTGGTCCTATTTCCTTACATTGGACCAGCTTCATTTTATTTTATAGGTTATATTATATTTTATATTTTATCTATTATTTTTTTTTATATTTTAGTTTTGCTTTGCTTTGAAGTGGCTCCTATGATGCCATGACAAAACAGAAGTTAGTTTGTTGCTTGTAAATAGGTATATTCAACACACATAAGCTTACAAAACTAACTAGATTAACCTGGTGATCTATGGAAAAGCAGATCTGTGGTCAGTAAGTCAAAGTTAAATCCACTCACCTGCTACACAGGAGACCTCATCACTGCCATCAGCACAATCATTTTTCCCATCACATATAAATTTTTGTGGGATGCAGGCACCGTCCCCACACCTTTCCTCAGCTCTGCCACAATCTAGGAGGAACACCAAAACAAAACCTTGTCAAGTGTCCTTCAGTGGCAAAAATCAAAGTGGCTTTTTAAAGTATGCCACAATGAAGCAAGTCTTAAATATGTTGAAGTTCTCCGGGAAAATGTCACAGTTCAAAGTAAGTTCATTTTAAGTTAGTTTATTTGAATCCCAGGTTAAACAGCTGGTCATGTGACCTCATTGAGGTCCTGCATTGTGGAGATAAAACACCTGCCACTGTTTTGTCTGTCAGTACTTAGTGTATCCTTAAATGTATTTTGTTTCATTTGAATTATCTTCCTGAAAGGTAAATGCTGATATAAAAAAATATATGTCCATTAAAACATAATAGGAGAAACTCACCGCAATGTTCCTCATCACTATTGTCACCACAGTCATTCACTCTGTCACACACAAAGTACTGAGGCCTACACAGGCCATTACTGCAAGTGAACTGTTCCTCATCACAGTCTGAAACACAAACCACATTGAACTAAATGTGTCAACATAAAATTTGTTGTATATATATAGTGGTTTTCTTAAACTGATCGGACAGGTTCCTCCCATTTAAGTGGGAGGAATAAATGTTGATTCCTGTTCATGTTGATATATAGATAGATAGATAGATAGATAGATAGATATACACACAATTTAATTATTGATGTATTTTTTATTAATTTGGACTGAATTTTATATAACCCTGAATAGTGTTTGAATTGCAATTCTGTAAATTCATCTTCCTGTCATTCCACATCAGTATCCTGCTGGACAGGGGTAATTCAATTCAAAGGTTTCAATTAAATTTTGCAAAATCCTGACAGGGATGAGACTTACTGCAGCTTTTCTCATCACTCATGTCTTCGCAGTCATTCCACCCATCACAGTGTTGCTCTTTTTTGATGCAGTAGCCTGAGGTGCACGCGAACTGACCAGGGCAAGCTGGAGATGAAATTCATGAGGGTAAAAACAGGAAGACGGCCAGAACTCAACACAAAGGAGAAGTGAAAGACAGTTCTAATGATAGAATAATGTGATCTGTTGGTTTTAAATGGTCCAAGATCAAAATTTCAATCACTGCATTTGGCTGGCCATATTGAAACACTGGGCTTACGTACGGTTTACAGGGTCAAAGGCGGTGTAAATGATCCTGAATCCCTTATCAGTGTAGGATTCATCTGAATGGAACTTCACTTCCAAGGAATTGGTGGTGCTAGAAAGAACAAGTCTACGTCTCTCTCCACAATACCTTCAAAAATGGAGGAAGGAAAGAAGTGTTAATACAACAAAGGCTAAGAAAACCAAAAATGAATTGGCAACAGACTACTGCAGATGGTTTTCAGCTAAATTAACATTAAATTTATTTATTGGGCCTTTTGCCATTTTATTTCATAGACTGTCAGCAAGCTGACAAGAAACAATAAGGGAAATCTTTCTGGCTGGCATGGCAGGACAGATGACAGAACTTACTTTTTACCCAGCACCTCTACGTAGTCTTTGTGACAGCTGCTAGTGTCCACCCCCGGCTCTTTCACACGGAACATACTGAACTCAATCTTTATCCTTCTGCCAGCAGGAACCTGCAGAACCCACATGATGGTGTTCAGGGTTATTTTCAAAAAGGCATAACTCAATAATAAAAGAGCATAATGATACAATTGAAACACTTTGTTAATCAAGAAGAGTAGTTCATTCAAATAAGAACATGTTGTCTTAATTTATTCACCATCATATTGTTCTGAGTCTGACACCTTATTATTTTCTTTCTTTTGTGAAACACAAAATGAGATGTTAAGCAGAATGCCTGCTCTACATTAATGTAGTCTACACCACTTATGATCTGCATTTCAAGGAAAACATGCAACCAAAATGAGTTATAAGCTGAAACAAATCTTGCAATTTGCCAGATCTCTCAAATCTCACTCACACTTGCTCAGTTAAAAAATGGCACCTTTAGACAAATATTTACTTTCATAAAATACATACACTACTGTTCTAAACTTTAAGATTTGTTAATATTTTTGAAAAAAAAAAAAAAGTATCTTATGCTCAGCTAGACTTATTTTTATCAAAAACACAGTAAAACAGTAATATTGTAAACTATTATTATAATTTAAAATAAATGCTTTCTATTTGAATATTTAAAAATGTAATTTATTCCTGTAATGGCAAAGTTTAATTTTCAGCATCATTACTCCAGTCTTCAGTGTCACATGATTCTAATCAAATCATTCTAATTTGATTCGTTTGCTGCGAAAATCAATGTTGAAAATAGCTGTGCTGTTTAATTTTTATTTTTTTTTATTTTTTTTTTAGAAACACTGATTAACAGTGATCAGTTTAACGCATCCTTACTGGAAAAATGCATTCATTTAATAAAAAATTACACTATATCCAACATCTCCTTTTGTGTTTCATGGAAGAAAATAATAAAATAAAGAACAGATATTACAGAGTTCTCTCTATTGGTAAATAAAGAAAAGTGAAACAGTCCTGTGGGGCTTACATTGATGTTCCAGTTGCAGTCCAACAAAGGAGGATAGAAACTAGGAAAATTAGGAGAGGTGAAGTTTCCTGTGGGAGCAGTCAGAGATTCTCCACAGCTCCCAGCTAGAAATTAATATGAGGGGGAAATGAATGGAAAACAGGTATTATGACATGGAACACTTCCTAGTCCAATTCAACATTCTTTTTCGAGTTTCAAGGCAGACATTGCAAGTGTCTACAAAGACTTATGACTTTATAGAATATTAAAGCATTTGTACAGAATGATCAATGACTTTACCAGCAATAGTGGGAACGGCAGCGTAAACTGCTCTGAATCCAGGTCTCCGGGCCACATCTGTGATTAGGTTGACAAGCATGATGTTACCAGAAGAAACTACCTCAAGAGGATTTGTAGGAGGTCGAAGTCCACACTGTCTGTGATGGAAAGATTCAAGAGTGTTAGAACTGTAGCAACTGTATATAAATGAAATAGCTTGATGGGAAAATTGATTGGACGAAAATCTGTGTAGGTTGTATTATTGGTATGTTTGTTCCTAAAGTGCCTTTTGTCAATGTTTAAGTATATAAGCCTAAAAGATCTGGACTAAAAACTGGATTTTTGGGTCTCTTTAAGATCATAAATTCAGTCAAGGATGTCCAAACTTTGACTGGTAGTGAAACTACATGTCAAAGAAAGTCACAATGGTATATCAAGTTAAGAAGCCTCAAGACAGATACACACAAAGAGATAGAGAGAGAGAGAGAGAGAGAGAGAGAGGTACCTGGGGCGTAACAACCTTATTAAGAACTGCATGGCTGTGATGCACAGAAACGCTGTGTCACCTTGGAAACGGGGGAAAGAGGCTCACTGGTGGTTATGCTCAGAGCACACTGGCTTCAAGATACAGCAAATCAGCAAATTTAGCACAGTTTTCATAAAAACATTAAGCAGCATAACCGTTTCTAGCTTTGATAATAATGCTTCTTGAGCAGAAAATCAGCATATTAGAATAATTTCTTAAGGATCATGTGACACTGAAGACTAGAGTAATGATGCTGAAAATTCAGCTTTAAAATCACAAGAATAAATTACAATATATTAAAATATAAATTTGTATTATATATTCCAATAATATTTCACAATATTACTGTTTTTACTGTAATTTTTACTGCAAATAAATTGCAGACTTGGTGAGCATAAGGTAAAAAAAAAAAAAAAAAGATTGGTTGGTTGTACGCAGAAATTACAGCACCTGCTAATCTGAAGTCCCTAAAAGTGTTTTTTTTTTTTTATTAAAAAAAGGAAACAAATGCTTTATATTGCTCAAACTAGGGAAAGGTTTGTATGGTATTCAATTGATACTGACAGAGCACAATTGGTTTTTAACTTAGAACATTCCTTTAAACATTACTGTATGTCATGGTAAAACCTAAATGACACAAAGGTGTGAAAGGGGCATGTACTCACTTTGTGATAGCATACGTGCTGTCAGGACTGAGAGAGTCATAGATGGCCACGTAGTCATTGGCACAGTCATCCTCTATGTGGAAGGTCCTGAACTTGACAATGATGGCATAGCCGTTAGGAGCGCGGATCTGCCACTGGCATCGGGAGTGAATTGGGAATCTCTTAGGGTGTTCAGGAGATGTAAATTCTTTGTTGGTGGTTTCAGCTATGAGACTGTAAAAGCATTTCTCTGATAACAGAAATAGGAAAAGTAGAAATATCTGATCTTACTGCATTCTGGTAAATAACAAACTAGCTCAAGTACTCAACAGATACATCACATGATAACTGCTGTGCGGCAAGTATAAGAAGCACTAAAGATCCTTAGCGTCCTCAAAGTGGTTGAATCGAGTGATAACAAGTGGCTTCTTGGATGGACAAGAGGTCACTCAAACACCTTAAAGTCTGCATGAACCAAAACTGTGACTGGATTTTCTTCCCTACTGTAACATATTACAGAGTGACATGGTTTATCGAACGAGAAAAAGAAGAGGACGAGACTTGATTTTGTACATCAGGAACTGACTGGATTGTAAGAAAGTGAGTGTTGCAAACTAAACGAAGGCATATTTAATCAATCACTGTGTATGTCCCAAACAGACCACAAAATAACACCCAAAACATCACCATAACCACAGAATTAAAAATTAAATGTTTTGAAAATTAATTTGCTGTTGATTATTGTTGTCACTTTTAAGTACTCCAGCCCATCTTTAACTTCAAATCTCACTTCAGGAGCTCTAACAAAATTGAAACAGGTTTTTATGTAAACATTATTATATGAAAATGTACTTCTGTTTTTTTTTCTTCTCCACTGGAGAGACCATTAAATGGACTTTGAAGTCAAAATTAAATGAATTTTTTATTATTTTTAAATATACCATTATTGACAACCTTAAAGATTAATGCTAAAACAATATTACATTGAACATTAAGCTTGGAGTGGTTTGTGAGTTAATGAATAGCAAATTAAATCATAAAATAATAAAAATTGAATAAAAAAAATGTAAATACATTTTCAAAATTAATAAATAAATACATTTATTTAACAGTTTTATTTGTTTACCTGCATGTCATGTGACCAGTAGCCCAGACAACCGTAAATATGCTAAGGTCTTGTTAAATTATTTAAATATTAACTCTCAGGGGGTACTTATTTAATATTTTAGGTCAATGTGCTTGGCTGACAAACATTTTGGGAATCCCTGGTCTCAAATAAGGAAAGCCTACAAATCAAGTTACTTCATTTTTATGCAAGATTACAAGCCAAACATTTAATTCAAGAAAAATGGGTCTATTTTGCTTTCATGTTGACTCTAAAGCCATAAGAAACCTCCATGCACTTGCAGTTTAATGCAGATCATTTAGACATTTGTACAAAGGTGCTGTTGAAGAGCTGTACATTTGCTCTCTGTGGTTGAAAAACAGGTTTCTGAGATCCCTGTGCTGTTGTGCACAGCAAGGTAAGTGGAAGGGAAAGCGAGCGAGAGATAGAGCGAGCATGAGATGGAGGCGGTCAGGCATTTTTCAGTGAGTGACAGGAGAGAGCACGACAACCCAGGTGGAAAATTACAGTGCAGCGGTGACTGAAATGGGACACACTTTACTCACTGGATCTGGGGTCCCTGGCCATCCGAGGGTCTGTGGCTGCAGAGAGAGAGAGAGAGAGAGAGAGAAAATGATGCATGCTGTACTTTTTTCACTCCCCTTTCTTTCCATTTTCCAAAGGCCTGTCAAGACATTCTGTTCCTCCTCCTCCACCCCTCACCTTGACTCCAGCGTTCACAAATAGCAGTCTCTCACCTCACTACAGCGACATGAGTCTCCGTACAGAGATATCATTTTAAGCAGGGCACTGAGGTGTCACTCAGGCCTCCTGCTCTCATGTATATAATGCATATGGGGACCAGAGAAGGACAGAGAGTTACAGTTTTTTCTTCAAAAACAAAGAATTACTGTGTTGCATTGAGCTGCACAATGGAGCCAAGACTCTACCGCTATCTACAATGTTATTAAAAAGCGTCAATGCTCCTTAAGGAGCCATTTCATACATTTTTAATCATTGTTTTTGTCATTTATATACATGATAGTCATTGCATTTTGCTAATGTTGTTTTTCACAACCATTTTCAATATTATCTTCTTTAACTCATCCAAATTACAGCACTGTGACTGTGTGGAGCAAACATGCTCTCTTTATAATTACCAATCATCTTACTTGAAGCAGTGATGTCGCTGGTAGTAACTTCAACACTCCCAATTTTTTTGCCCCCCTGTCGGATGCCCCTCCGCAGAGCCTCGACCACACGATCCTCCGACAGCTCTGGGACGATCTCTTGGTCCGTCTCAGGAATGTCAAATTGAGACCAATGATACGCTAAGGTTCCTTCACTGCAGATGCAAAGATGGTGCAAAGTAGATATATTATTGAATTAATCTACAACTTGATTTTTGTAGTACTTGCCCATGCATAATGTACTGTTTCAAATGTTAGGATTTGCTTTGCACAATGCTAGTTGCTAAGGTGTTTTGTATGGTATTAAGAATGATGCTATGCTAGGTCTAGATGGTTTCTTACTGACCCAAATCAAAAAAGAGTCCATTATGTATGATCCTCTGATTTGGTGTAATGGATTTTCACTCTGTTTTTATGGTCCCTCAACCCTGAGCAGTAGTAATAGTTGAACTGGAAATTTATCATTTGTATTCTATTAGTAGGGATGGGCAATATGGGCTTAAAAATATATCACGGTAATTTCTGATATTTATTGCGATAACGATATCAATGACGATAATTTAGGGAATCCTGTTTCTTTAGAGAAAAGTATTATCTTTCCTATTTTTACCCAAAATAGGGTGTTGTGAGCATTACTGAGTACACACGTAATGTAATGACTGTTTGATTCATACTGGAAGCCGGAGGGCGCCCTTGCGCAGAAACTGTATCGCGTACATTGTCAGTGTCGTGCGCTTTGCTTGGCCATTTGTTGTGATAAACAGGAAAGTGTGTCCAGCTGAATTCAATTTGAGTTTTGTTAAACGAATAAAAAAAGAAGCTTAGTTTCGTGTGAAGACCGAAGAGTGTAAAGACCATCGACTCTACCGTGCGACTCCACCGAACAGGGACACCGGCAAAGGATAAGTATCGCTTTTTATTTCTCCTCATTCCTACTACTTGTTTCACTTCTGTTTCAGTTTTTTTTTTTTTTAATAACCATTTCTTACTATGTGTCAGTAAGTTGTTGTTATTTTAGCATGTGTGTTTGGCTCGGTGTTATTTTTTTAGGATTACTGAAACTAATGTAGTTTGATTTGTATTAGTTATCTATTTTAGTTTTAGTTACAGTTGTAGTAATGTTGTAATTTTATTATTTTTTTATTGTGTCTATATAGGTTTTTTATTAAGTTTTAGTTTTATTTAATTTGAGTTATTTCAGTACTTCAACATACAAAATGGAAATGAAATAATATATATAT